ATTATTTTTTTTAAATGGCTGCCGCCGGAAATTTATGTAATTTAAAACTTGTTCTTTATGTTTTTTTTTTAATTCCTTAACAAAAAATCACTACTATAGCAGCGATTTCACTTTTTTATTTTATTTATTTTATTTTTATAAAAACGCTGCTATAGCAGCGATTTTAAAGAAATAATAATTTATTTATTTATTGAGAAAATCGCTGCCAAATACAGCGATTTTTATTTCTTTTAACGGACGGCGTCAATTTTTGTCAAAAGAAAATCGATCCGTCAGGAGGGATTTTGCCCTTTTGGTTAATTTTTTTTTTTTGATGTGCCCTTTTTGTTTTTTGAAGGAAAAAAATGACCCTTTTAGCTTCGGACTCCCTTTTTGTTGATATTTTAATTCATTAGAGTAATAAGGTGACCATATTGTCAAACTACAAAGGATATAATGTTTTTAAAGAATTTAAAAAAATGTTAATAATAAAAAAGGAATTAAAAAAATGTTAATAATAAAAAAGGAATAATGTGACATGGCATCCTATTAGGAGAGAGATAATATTTTTTTTGTATCAAGTATATTTTGAGAAAAAGAGGTAAAGTTGGGTGATATTGTGATCCTAAAACAAACATAAGTGATATTCCTAGGTAATTTTCCAAACATGGGTGACTATCCAGGGAAATTACTCTCAAAAAAATGTACCTTAAAAGACAATTGATGTTATTTTGGATAACATCTCATCATTAGTATATATGACTACATCATGTGACAAGTTTTTTGGATTTTTTCGCTCGATATTTAATATTTATATTGAGGCTTAATAAATTTGAATTTGCTTATCTTAAACCTTTTTGAAGGGGGACACTTCCAACGTAACTAAACTTTTTTCATTCTCAAGTGCTTTAACTCGAGACTTGATCTAGTTAAGAATTAATGGAACCCAACCTATGTGGTAGAATCCATTTTATTCACGCCAATCTTAATTCCTTAACTTAATATTACCACTCCAACTAAAATGCTTAGACAAGATCACAAATCTTTAATAAAAATTATCCAATTTTCTAATAGCCTGATATTATTACTCACTAACTTAAAATACACTTTTTTTCAGGAAAATATTTTCAAGAAAATGAATTATTAGTTATTGTATTATATTATTGGTTTAAATATGATATTTATTTTGATCGTTACTACATTAAAATTTAACGACCAAAAGTTTCATTTCATGAAACAATTGATTTGATGTGATCGCATTATTAACTTTTTTTTATTTCTTCTTATTATTTATCTTTATTTATTAAATTTAATGTTCATATTTCATCTACTACTTTACCTTTTTACAGTAGTTTTATCTCTTACTCTACTTTCATGTAGATTTATCCTTTAAATGATTGATATATAATATTATGTAATATTATGCAACGATAAAAAATGATATTCATATTTATCAAAATACATGAATACATTATAAAATAATTACTATACAACAACCAAGTTTAATGGTCTACAAAGTGATTGTTCAAACTTCAGCGTAGCCTTTAAGATGAAAACAAAGGAGTATTAATTTCTCGCCAAACATTAAAGAAAACACAAGAGATTTCTATGTTTCATATTAGTGCCTAGTGGTGTTTCTAGCTTAGTCACGTCTCAAATTATTTATCGTAATTTTAAAAATTAATTATTTTAAATTATTTTTTATTTTAGAAGTTTAAGATAAAATTAATTAATAGAGTATTATTTTTCATTTTATCCTTAGTACTAACGGAGAAATATGACAAATAATTTGAGGTGTAGAGATAAATCCACTCATTTAAATAGAGTTAATGAATTCATAAGAAAATAAATAAAACCTTCTTGATTATGTGAAACACAAATAAAAACTAATTATTCAAAATTTGAAGTTTATGACTCCCGAGTCCCGATGATAATTTCAATATTTTTCAAAATAGACTTTATTATATGTGCCGAATAGAAATTGAACTCTCACCAAGAAGGACATCAATGCAAGTTTCATTTCTATTGCCAATAACTAAGGAAATATTTTTATTACTGAATTCTCGAGAAACTGCTCCCACCACTTTAGATTCAAACTTATAATGATGAAATGAAGGGAGTAATAAATACATATGTTGGCAAAGAAGTTCACCAAACACTAGACTCCAGCTCTATTGCCTCCTAAAACCTAACATTTAAATATAGGAGCTGCAACAACTTAATTCCTCTCTAACATCATATAGATCGACAATATATAAGTAAGAGTATTTATTATTACTACGGCTTCCCATTTATATCTCTTTATTTGTCTACTTCAATTTGCCTCTTCAAGTCTCCATCTATACCTAAAAACAGAAAAAAGAGAAAATGCCTAATAGGAGTAATATTTTTGTTACATTGATATTGAGTGAAATTAATATTACTAAGGCTTAAGATTGGATTAATTTATTAATTCAATTCATTTTGATCTGTCTAGTTATTCAATCATCTAAAAGTTGGATTGTTTGGATTAAATATGTAAGTAGCTTCAATTGACTATGAGAAACTTTGTGAAAACATTAAAAAGAAAGGTTCTTTTTTCTCGTGAAAAACTATCTAATTACACAAATATTTCTACTATATTTACTAATACTTCCTATATTTTAAAATAATTACATTTTATCTCATTAATTAATAATTTCATACCGAATTTCAAGTCAGATATGCCAAATACATATTTTTTTGCTGCCAGATATACTGAAATAGGGAGAAGTGAGTGAGAACAGAAGGGAGACGAACGACATTTGTCTATGTATCCCAGATACATGCGAATCACTCCAGATACATGTATCTCGTGTGATTCACATTATCTGATCCTAGATACACAGGAGAGTGGCAAGCGAGATGGAAGGGGGGCAAGCGAGAGTTGTCTATATATGTATCTAGATACATATGAATTCACTTGGATACGATGTATCTAGAACAAATTACACTTAATTTTGACTTCATATATCTTGAGAGATACATGTATTTGGAGGCACCAAAATCTGATAAAATTCGTAATATTGGAAACTAGCGTGTATTCAAGCAAGTAAGTAAATTATAAGAAAACAAATAAAGAAATTAACAATTGGTAAGAGTTAGCACATCGAGTTATTACATAGATCTTATTTATCTCAGCCCACATTGATCCGTCCAAATTCAACCGAAACATTAATATATTAGGTGTCTTAAATATTTCCACACGTTATTAGTTTTCGTTTCGAATTTGAACTTCAATAGCTTAATTATTATTTTTGATATATTAAAGAAACAACTATGTCAATGTGTAACATTTCTGTCCAACCAACGACGAGGTAGTTTGTATTGCTTTTATTAAGGTGTATGAAATAACTCCATAACAATGTTTAATCGAATTTCCACCATACTCATTTAATCATCCACTCTGAGAAGAAGCGTTGCTAGCTGGTGCTTTTCTATCTTTAAATTTTCACCAAATCAAATTAATACTATGATTCATAAACACAACATTTACTATGACAAGTTTGCTCGATAACCGTGGTGTTCGAGCCAGCTTACATACATCTCAACTAATAGTACACACAAAGTGATGCATTATTGTGTAAAATAAACAATTCAAACCAATGGCGGATCTAGAATATTAATTGTGAATTCACCGAGAATCCACTAATTTTTGTTCATACCTTATATATGTATAAAGATATTTAGCAATATTTGATTGCGGGTCCAATTATTATTGTATCGAATCTATAAACTTCAAATCTTAAATCTATCTCGACCAATGTAACAAAAGAGTAATTTTGCGTATAGTTTCTGCCCGTCCTTTCTCCTAGTTCTTGAAGTTGTTCACACTTTGAACGAGAAGCAAAGCGCAACAAAATATTTTCTTTGTGCGTGGTAAAAAAAAAAGGTTTTTGGGGAGAGATACTATTTCACCAATCAAATCATACGTATCTAACATATTCATACCTAACAATTTTCCACAAAATGGAAATGAAACATATAACTTGTACAAATCTTTTCATTTTCCAAGTCGATCCGATCCCTGGAACACCTCTAACACAGATGGGCAAATAGTTAATTTTGAAAGAACTTATTATCAACCACTTTCAGATATGAATCTATCTGATTCAGAAGGGAAGACTTGCATTAGTATCTCAATATCAATTCAAAAATTGGTTTGATTCACACTCCATGTCCCGAGAAAGATTTATCATCCGAAAAGAGGAAACAATGGAGTCTTTGTCTAAAGTAATGCGTTGAGAAAGGGCAGATATATACAACCTTTCAGTCTCAGCATGAAATGCCTAAGAAATCCTTTGATAAATCATTGCATAGCAGCAAATTTTACTTTCCAGGGGATGATTTTGCCATAACCTTCTTTTAGGCCACTCCTTAAAATATTTACCCCTTTAACTGCCACAAAATTAGCAACTGGTCCATCTATGAAATTCTGACATTTAAGAAAATTCCAAATTATTAACAGCAAAGAACCAAGACCTACTAAAACTGTGTACACAAGCATTGCAAACCTTCATATTAGCTGGAAGTCCATTCTTTAACAGTTTGGCTAACAAGTTTCCAGAAACTAATGCTAGTAAATAACAGAAAAGACAAATAATAGGCAATAGCAAGCTGAATTATATGAGTCAAAGATCATTCGGATCAACGTTCATGTTTTTGCTCCTTGTTCTTCTTGTTACAGTGTTGTTATTGTCTTTTCACTACTGTGTAGTTTCCTTCCTCTCTGCCTTACATGAAATTTTCTTCAGCAATTTGTGAGTCAATATTGAAGATTTGCTTTTTCCATGTCATTTCTCTATTTTTGTTTTGAGAGAGCAAAATATCCACGATTTGGCACTTTGCAGCATCTCATTCGTGAAGCATTAGAGAAAGATAAGACTATCCCATGTAGTACGTGACTATACTTCTATACAAAAGTTAAAAAGTGTCAAAACTTCTCATCCTAAAGATGTATCATTTTTGATTGAATCAATTCTGAACCTCCTTAGGCAAAAACAGAAACTTAACTCATTCTAGCTTGACTCTGTTTGCTTCTAGCTGCTCTTTGTTGGGCTCGGCAGGAAAGTATTTAATGCCCACTAGATCACCAACTTCACTGATAACCTGACAAAAGCAATAGTTGCTAAATTACTAGCTATTCACTTGCACTAGTAATGGCCACACTGCCTTTCTTTTCAGGTAGGTGTTGATTTACATAAGCTGAAATACTAATTGAAACACAAAAGATCATCTTCATTCAAGATTTTAATATGCCACTAAATACACACTAATCTGTTTAAATCTTCTTTTTTGTTTTGTATTGGCATGACAATAGGTTAATCCCTCAATAAGCAGCATCTCTGGTGCCGGATTGTTGCTTGTATAATGACAGTAGGACATAACTAAACATGATCATCATCTGAAATGATAAATCAAATGCAAGTACAAGCTAACCTCGAGCGCTTTAATAAGATCATCCCTTGAGTGAGCAGCAGATATGCAAATTCGTGCTCTGGCCAAAAGTAAAGGAGTAGCTGGAAAAGCAACTGTCACTACTGCCACCTATAGTAGTAGAATATGAAATAAATATTATTACAAGAGGAAAAATTGGGAATAAGCATTTATTAGAGAATGATCTAATTCTAGTTTGGATGAAGCTGAAACAATAGTAGAAAACAGTACTTTTCGTTTGAGACACTCCCGTGAAAAAGCAGGTATTTTTGCTGGATTGTAGAGCATAATGGGCATAACAGGAGAATCATTGTCCCCCAGAACCTCAAAGCCCATCTTCTGTAATTCAGAGCGGAAAAAGTTGCTATTTTCACGTATCTGTGCTAGCTTCTGAGCCCCTATAAGAACCAAAGTTGCTCTAATGATCGGTAGACTATCACTATACCAGTGTTGAGTTGCATTAAGAATATAATGAAAAGTAGAGTTTCATTTAACAGGACGAAATTTCTGACCTCTACTAGAACCATCTACACCGAGTATAACCTTGATAGAAGAAATTATTTGTTGGGCAGCTGGAGGTGATATTGATGTGGCATAGAGATGAGCTGGGCAATTGTACTTCAGATATTCGATAAGTTCCTATATTGTTGTATCAAATGTCAAAGCCACCTCTTATAGATGACATCATAAATTTACCACAAGAAAAAGCTCTGTGAACACACATCCTACTGAAGTGGAAAAGTAAAAGTAAAAGAATCAATCATTCAGGTGGTTCACTGGCAGAAACCATGAAACAAATCATCTAGATAAAGTCTATCAAATCAGTTGTACTGGAAGATCAGACAGGAAATGCCCGCAGGCCTGCAGTACATATAATTTCCTGCAAGATTGGTTTTATTATCAGCTGGAAATAGGGATTTCATTCACGTGCCAATACTCTGGTTTACTGGGTTGCTATGTTCTTTGGACAATGTTTGACCAGATTATGTAATAATGTGATTTTCATGCAAAGATTGAGCACATTAGCTTAAGAAAAGAAAATGTAAAAAGGAGTATCTAGAAAACGGCAATGCATAATGTGATGACAGTTACAATGTTAACCAATCAGGCAACCAATTGACAATCTTGTTGTCACAATGGTCGGAGCAGCATTCATTTCAAACCCAATGACATGTTGGAATGAGGCAGCATTAAGCAGATACACTCAGGTAATATCCTTGAGAAATATGAGGTTTGATGCAAATTACAAGTTATCCAGGAACGGTTCTTCAACTAACTAATGGTTGGAAAGCTTAACTCAACCAATGAAAAGCTAGTCAGTAGCATTTTTTTGTGAAAATCATACCTTTGATCCTGCAATATAACCCCCACATGATCCAAATGACTTTGTAAAAGTTCCCATCATAATCTCCACATCTGCAGTGTCAACTCCTAAGAGCTCACAGACTCCCCTTCCACTTCTTCCAACTGCTCCAATGCTATGAGCCTCATCCAGATACACATATGCCTACAAAAATTAGATAGTACCTGAACCTCAGAAAGCAGATACATTTAAATTAGATGCCCTCATTATAAAAGAAAGAGCATGGCAAAAAGTTAAAATATTATTGACATGTCAATTAAAAGAAGAAGTTCCAGGAAGAGACATCAAACACTATATTACCTTGTACTTCTTGCATATCTCAACAATTTCTGGGAGTTGGCAAAGCTCCCCTTCCATACTGTATATGCCCTCGACCACAACAATTATCTTCTTCCATGGTCTGTGTGTTCTGGGTTGTCCCTCAGCAATATGTTCTCTCAAGACTTTCTCCAAGTGAGACGGTGCTAAAGAAATTATGGAAATTTAAAGCACGGACATGACATTGGACACCTCATTGAACATTATTGTTCAAACGAAAAAGAAATCTCATGAATACTTACTGTTATGTTGAAAAATACGAATGGTGGATCCAGAACCTCGAGCACCATTTACAATAGAGTTGTGGTTCAGAGAATCACTGATGATCAAACCTCCCTGCAAATGACTGTAATCAAAAAGCAAATAAAATAACAAGTATAAAACAAGAACGTAACTTTTTATAACTCTATACCTTTCCAATCAAGACCGGAAGAATAGCTGAATTTGTTACATAACCCATACCAAAAACAATAGCAGCTGGTTTTCCAACAAAATTAGCCACACACACTTCCAATTCACTATGTAGCGTTGTGGTGCCTGACAAGACAATTTTCATAAACAATGTTTACTTATGCAGGAAAGACTCACAGTACAAAATTGAATGGGATCATGCCTACCTCCATCAACACGGGTACTGCATGTGCTTGCGGAAAATCTTTTCAAAGACTCAATAACACGTGGGGTACAATATTCATCAGAAGCAGCAAAACCAAGGTAATTATATGATCCCAAGTTCAGGCACCTTGAAACTTTTGTGGTCCCACTGCATAAAAAGAATTTTGAGCATTAAAAACAATGTTTCAAAACACTTACTACTAACCATATATCTTACATTGTTCAACAGAGAAATATTCATGCATCACCAGTGAAGCTGTAGTAACTTCATATACACATAGTTCTCTTATAATATTAAACAGAACAATCAAAGAACCACAAATGGAGGAAGCATTTTTCAGAAAGTTAAAGAAAAAGATCAAAACGAAGCAAATGACGTATATACTAACTTTAGTGTCTTGTTATTATCATTGGATACACGCTCTACCACGTCAAACCAAGCATCAGGAGGACTGCATATTGGCCTTCCAAAACAATCCTATTGTAAAACGAAGCAAAATATATGAAACAAATTATAGATTTTCATTTAGCATTAGACAGCTATCGAATTAACACAATTATACTATTTCAAGCATAAACCATCACAATTCTGCAACAAAGTGTTGTAAAATGCTGTATGATAATTACCTGAATGCGAAGATACAACCGACGGATATAGAAATCTTCGAGTCCTAAGCAGATAGGCGCATATCCCTGCCATTAATTTTAAACACGAAATAACCATTGTTGAAATGCCATGAATCAAACGCAGAGACGCGCATTTAAGAGCAGGACGGACATTATAGAAATAGAAATACAAACATACCTGAAGATTACTGGCGTTCCACCAATCGAATATTTTTCTGAAGAAATCACGAAATTGGCCAAAGGCAAAGAGCAAGCCATAGCTGAAATAGGTGGACAAGGCAGTCAAGTATGGAATGGTGATCATTGAACTGTCGGAGATCGGACCGCCGGCGAAGGCGAACACTTGAAGGAGAATTCCGATCTCCGATTCCGATGAGACAGAGCGAGCTTGATCAAATCCAATCCCTCCCTTCGCGTATGATTTTTTTTTATTATCTATTGTTCTAACTTCTATTTCAGACTCTATTCAAGGGACCGCTATCAAAATAAAATGAGTAGGCATTTATTCATGCAGCTTAAATTTGAAATTAATACTAGTAATTGTTTCTGATATGGAACAAACAGTATTAAAAAAAATAAAAACATGTTTAAATTTTATTTTTGAAACGACATATACTGACCTGAATGTGAGTGGATCATATTGAATAATTGTTAGTTATTATTGTTGTTGATTTATTAGATCAGAAGATTTTTACTATAAAATTACGTGTTGATCAAATTCTATTTTATTATGTGTGTGGGTCTATCGAAAATAATTTTCTATTCCTCCAAAGATAGGAATAAGATACGTGTACATTCTACTCTCTTCATATTCTATTTATAGTATTACAATGTGAATGTTGTTGTTATTATTGTTTGTATTGGACAAATTATGACTATGACAATTGAACGTATCAAGAGGCGATATATGACATAAAAGCGCTTTGTTAGATTCAGCTCAATATATAGAAAATAGTTTCGGATAGAATATAAGGTCGCATTCAGATCAAGATCTTAGTTCACCATAAACTTGATGCAACTCATGACTTGCTATTTACCGAAATAATATGACTGATGGCTCATCTATGATCGATCGAGATAAATTTCATCTAGTAACTAGTTTTTACAAAATTCAGAATCTATGCACTTTGAGGACAAAAAACTATAACTAATAGTAAAGAAGGATAAGCAAGACAAGACAATGCTCCATTAACAACAACATTCTACTATAATTCGTTTCCTCCACAATCTCAAATTAAGATCATATCCTCGATAAGCTACGACCAAAAGTAAAACTCGGAAATAATTTCCTCCATAGCAAACCCATCTTGTGAATGTTACAAAATATCAAGTTGTACTAAATACCGTAACAAAACATGCGCAAATGGTCAATCCTAATGTCGTTTAAAAAAATAAATAGTCAATTAGTTATTTATTTATTTATTGTTTTTTTTGTTAGGACAATTAGGTATTTTCTGTTTTTTTTTTTCCAATTAATTACACATTGGAGCGGCTAAAACCGGGTGCATCATCTAGTAGAATCCTCTAGAACTAAAAACGCGAACCGCCATGTTGGTGGGTCTAAAATTTCTTGATGCCCAAGCCAAAAAGCCATTTTTCATGGCAAACTATATAAGCTCCGTGGTTCCAACATCGACGATGAAATTTGCTATTTTCAGCGAATTGATTGTGAATTTGTGTCAAATTTCTCAGCTGACTGCGTATTGAAAATCCTGAATCTCATCATTGTTGAAGTCTTGCGAGTTTTCTCATGGTAATTAATCTTCTATTTCTTTCACTTTCCTTAAGAATTTCTTTTTGTTTGATATTGTTCTTCTGTTTTAGGATTTCATCATTTTGCTGTGATAAAATAATTTGTTTTTTTAGTTTAATTAGTAGCGTCTGTATGCAATGAAATCATCTCTGTGAGCTTGGCTGGTGAATACTTCAATCTAATTTCTATTTCCAAATTTTGTCTCAAACTTGAAATTAAGCATATAATTTTGAAGTTGCAAACTTGAAACTTTGAGTTTCTGAAATTTGCGGTTTTGTTTGGACATACATTTTTTACTTGGAAAAAGTTGAAGTTTTGTGTGTGGAAGTCCCAAAAACCCAACTTTTTGGAATTTATTTCATGATCAAATGGATATTCGATGATAAATTTTCAAAATCTAATCCTAAAATCTATACGGTCAAACTCTAGCTATGGGAAAAAGGTCAAATTTTGCATTTGAGACGGCCAAGTTAGTTATTATCTTTGTTTTCTTTTTCAAGTATATAGTACTTTTAATTGCATAATTGAACCTCAAAACATATTTTGTTTTGCACTTCAATGATTGTTGCTTAAATGTTCTTGGGATAGTCTATATATAGATCTGTTTGAGCTAGAGATTATGTTAATGGATGGTCTTTTAGGAAGGGTTTTCTTAGCTGCCACAAGAACCATGGTGCTATACACAATATACTCTACAATTTAGCATGAAAAGAGATTGCTTTGCTATGCAAGGATCTGGACTTTTGTTTCCTATTCTTGTTAATCATACTATTCCTCTTTAAGTTCTACTTGGTTGATCTATTAGATATAGTACCAAGCGTTTTCGTGCTCTCTCTTTTCAGTCAACTCCATTAGTTGTGGGAACTACCATTGGTGCTGCTGCTTTGGGAGCTAGATACTTGATAAGAGCATGGCAAACGTTCAAAGCAGCACCTCGAGTGAGGAAGTTTTATCCTGGCGGCTTTGATCGGGATATGACAAGGCGAGAAGCAGCATTGATTCTCGGAGTTAGGTGTGATGATCTTACCCTGTTTTAAGTTCTGTTTTTGTAATGGCAACATGTATTTCTTTTCTATTTTTGTGCTCTTTTTCAAGTTCTGAAATCCTTTAAATGGCTAACTTGTTCCGGATTTGTTTAGGAAAGTTCGCAACTTGTAACTTTCATGCATTCTAAGTGAAAACTATTGATTCTTTCTATAAGCAGATTGGTGCTCCTGGCACACTTTTGTTTTGAGCTCGTGATCGACAAAGCTACATGTATCAATCAATTAAATTAGTTGCTTATGTTCCATTTCTTTCCTTTCTAGGGAAAGTGCTGTCCTGCAGAAGATCAAGGAGGCTCACAGGAGAGTAATTGTAGCAAATCATCCAGACGCTGGTGGCAGTCATTATCTTGCTTCCAAGATCAATGAAGCCAAGGACGTGTTGTTAGGGAAAACCAAGGGAGCTAATTCTGCATTCTAATTGACTAGTGTTTTCTTTACACTTTTATTTCTTAACAGCTTCATGATAGTCAGTATACATTAACCGGATCTGTTTCTGGGGAGTAAGAGAACATAATTTGATTCGAGGAAGAGGTGAATTTGTATCAACAGCTAGGTGCATTACTGTCATAAATTTCATGTAATGCAACCAGAAATATTCTTTTGCAGATTGCTTTACAATAACAAGTTGTATCTTCCTGTTTACTATTCTATTTTGAACCATTACTCTATCTGCATGTAGTATGTACGCAGTTGGCGCACCCCACCTACTGCTCAACTTGAACTAACTATATACTGGACGTGAACACACAACTCAGAATAATACATCAACAAGTTGCATTTTGCATATTATATCTTCACGAAATGTTTGTACTTTTGCTTCATTCTGATACATAGCAGCAACTGAGCAAAAGCCTGGATAAGCGGCTATTTCACAAGCTATCACTAAATACCTAAAAAGAATTAGTAGACATCATGTACAAACAGAATGCATTTGCTGCGACCAAAAAAAGACAAGGAAGAAACGGAAAATCTTAATGTTACAGAACACTCTATTTGTGTTAGCTAGAAATACAACCCAGCTTGGACAACTTTCTTCATATATCATCACTGGAGAATCCAAATCGAAGCAATAGAAAACACCTTTAGTGCCAAGAGATCTCATATAATTCACGATGATATTGGCTCATATGGATATGATAGCCATGGATGTTTTAGAGCCTCCAAGGCAGAAGGCCGCGTCTTTGGGTTAACTTCTAAAAGATGAGCCACAAAATCAACGAAACCTTGATCTCCCATTGGTAATCGATACCTCAAGGATGTCTTTTTGGGTATTAAGTATTCCATTCTGTTTGTTTCCTACAAAAAGAAAGAAGAAAGAAAGAGGAATTGATTATCTTGACATTGTATTATATCCAATTTCATTTTTTCCGGCCAGAGTTGCATTCAAATAAGGGACTCCAACAATGATGTTTACTGGGTTGCAGATTCTAGATCTCAGTTGAAGCTCAACTTAAGGAAATATTTAGTAGATACAGAACTGGCAAAACCAAAGGCCTTTCACAGAATAATATATGCTGTCCTCGAAACTATGTACATGGACTCGGGAACAGGTACATATCCTCTAAGGATGCAAGTCTATGGTGCGTTTTTTTTTTTTGTTGCTAACTTTTAGCCAATTTTTAAGTATCATTATGCAACATCCATACCATGTCATACCCATTGGACATGGGTACAGCAAGGTAAAGGAAGGATCCATGTTAAATAACCTTTTTGAAACTGATTTTTCTTTAAAAAAACTGGATCCATGGTTAAATAACCTCCAAATAGATCGAGTCGTTGATACATGAAAACATTGATCTTAATATGTCACTAGACAAATTGATCTCTTAAAAATGAGACCTGGGGAAACAGGGGTTCACCCCAAAAACAAAAGGAACTGAAATAAAGAGTGGAAAAGGAGAAGAAACTTTACCTGATTTCGTTCATATAGCATGTGATTTTTGGTGAAATATTTGTAAGTGTCTCGTCCTTTGACAAGCATCTCTTGGTCAATCGGACCTGTGATACCAAGTACCCTTGCAAGTAACGTGGCAGGAGAGTCATTCTGGAAAAGGACCTGCAAAAATGGGAAAATTCCTATAAAACCCCACTAGTAAAATTCAAAACAAACATCAAATTACAGTTGGTCGATATTTCAAATACGAACATCAAATAATACAAATTTCATTTAAAGCAATTTTAAGCGAAATTGCTAGGACTCTTCACTTTTGGTGCTGCATCCATGTCGACACAACATGGCTGTGGGATCCGTACCCGATCTGGTCAAACGATTTTGAGTACTTTGACCAAAATCGAAAGGAGAAACTCCGAACAGATTCAATGATTTTTGTAATCAAAGCAAAAGCTAAGGTGAAATTGAAGAAAATGGAATACCATCTATATATAAATTTTACGTCTCTCTTTTTATCCCCTTCCAGGATTCTCCCCTTAAAACAGTATCTTCTCTAAAGTTTTCCACATAATATCTCAAAATTTAGGTTTTATGACTTTTTCAAGATATCTTGAATTATTTTTAGCCAAATCTCTGCATCCGTATCCCCCGAATCTTAAAATTCATGAAGGATCCGACCTCTATTTTCAACAGACTGACCAACTTCTGAGGATAGTGAAGTATTCTGAACTCTCTTGCTTT